TCTTCGCGTCTCTTCTCCTCCGCTTTTCGCGCTCGTTCTTGTTTTTTCAGTTCTTTTTGTTGTTGTTCTTCTAATTGCGTCAATCGTCTGGTTTCTTCCTGATTCTTGATAATTGATGAGCCGGTTGATATGTCGATCATTTGAATTCGCGTAGGTTTTTGGTATGTCTTCCTTTGAGAAATTTTTATTTCAGGCGATCTTGGACCCGGATTGATGTTCATTGCTCCCATGGGCGGTATATTTGTTGAACCAGATCTTTGAGGAGGAGGAATCGGAGGCCTTGGATACGGTTGATTAATTTGTGATGGCCTTCTCTTAGGTATGAACAGTGATGGCCCTGAAATTGAGTTTGAGCGAACAGGAGTTCCTGTAGAATTATAAAGAGAATATTAACATCGCATTTTGAGAAAAAGGAAATTATGTGATGCATTCAATATACTAACCAACCGATGGATGTGATTGTCCACGATTTTGCAGCGGTTCAAAATTGAATGCGTTGCTATTTATTGGTGAGGTTAATCCTGGCGATGGTGGTACTTGTAAATTTGTCAGTTTTAGCTGTCTCTCATTATTCGATATTCCTTGTCGTAAAGCAAAATGTGACGTATGGACGGCCGGACTCGAAGAAAACGGATCGAAAACGTCACATATCTCGCGATCAAAAAACGCATATTCTACCGGATAAAATTTAATTCCATTTTCACTGATTTTGCTCATTAATTCATGCATGCCTTTCGTTGCAGTTTCCGGTATATACTGTTCGATATTTAAATCAAGGGTCTGCAAATTAGGATATTCCAGAAGCATTTTAGAAATTAGTCGAACCCACTCGTCTTTGTCGTATGTTCCGCTTGTTATGATTGCAGATAATTCTGTTTTTAAGCCCGCCACCAAAAGCCTTCTAATGCAAAGAATTGCAAAGAGTACGCCAAGTTTTATATTGCTAGAATATGTCCTCCAGTGAACGTATATGTGGTGAAGTATTTCTTTTGATAGCTCGGCACC